ATAACAAGAAAAAAGACAGCATTGGTCAGTTTTTAATCATTATTGCAACTGGTCAACGATTGAATCAACGGTGCAAAAAGCCAACTGTATCACCTCTGATAACACCCATAATGAGAGGATGTGGAATTGCGCTCTTCACATTCAAACTTTGTTCATAGAGTGCTTTGAGTGCTTTATTATTCTTCTGCTCGGTATACATTTGGATTTCGAGCGCATAAACTTCTAGCAATTGGGTTCCTTTCTTCTGATCTTCTTCACCCTCTTCAGTCTGCAATTGGAAATTACTCTTTCCAAATTGTAACATCGAGCTACACAGCTTAAAAAATATACGATTCATTACAATTTGCATTTTGGAGAATAACAGAAATGCCACTGGATTGATTATGTGATTTGAAGTTGAAATGAAGACATATCACAAATGATTACTCACTTTACATGACGAACGAAGTTGCTTCACTATCTTCTCCAGTTTCCCGAACTCCCTTCGATCGAAATACAATTTACCCAATTTTGTGTTCGTTTTGAACCAAAGTCTTTCATTTTTCGCATCCTATAATGAATACCGAAAGCTTCAGTAAACTGAAAGTAAAGGGGAATATCGAAACGAAGAGTCTGCATTCCCCAATACGAAAATGTTCACTCAATTTGATATTCCCAATCAGTCCATTCTTCAACATCTTCAAGACTTTTTATTAAAACATATCAATGTTCTGATATAACGTTTCAAATGCTGCTTTGAAATAATGAAAAACAAACGATACACATACGAATAAAAATGTGCTAAATTAAATCTGATCCGTAATCAATGCAGACAGCTCTTCAGAAATATTCAGTTCTCAAACTGAAACTATTTCCCTTAAGACGTCATATTTCAAACCAAACCCTTGCAATTCTTTGCCAACATAAGACCACTTTACAACTTCGACGTATAGCTTCACCAAAATGAAATTATGTCTCGTTTTTCACTACAGTCCCAAATCAAATGGAACACTCCAAGAGAAAAATTGGAGAGAGTATCTAAAATTGATTAACCTTCAATGCATCGAGCGTCGTTTCGTAGAATTTCTGCAGTAAATCCATCTGTTTCGATGTTGAAATATAATCAAGTATTGCGTTTATCGATTTCTCTGAATAGTTCTTTGTGACAGCGGTTTTTATGTAGGAAAGGAGTTGACGATAATACGATAGCATCGAATCATATTCGCTCTTAAATATGAGGACATTAAAAACTACAATACGGAAAACCTTCTACCATTCTCTCCTTGATCACTTTTTTCCCGAAGCAATCAACACAGCTCTTGAGACATATTCAATTTTTTGTTAAGCTGAATGCTCTAGTTAATCCAATGGTAACTGTCGAGATTGTTTAATAATATTAGCAAACTTTGAAATGACTATGATCATGAATTACTTGCATTCAAACGATTCTTTTGAGGAGGTAAGCTCCATATGAATTCGAAAATGATGGATTTCATTTTGACTTTGACAGAAATATGAAAACGAAATTTTAAGAAAGTACCAAAGAGAATGTGATTTTGATCATTTGTTTGAGTGCCTTAAATCCCCATTCACCCTTCTCTACCTCCAGTTCCAAAACTTTTTCAAACGCTTGCAGCGCTCCACTGAAATCCTTTTCTGCCTTCAATGCTTTCGCATTATAATACTGGTTCTCCAAGTCAACATCCGGTTCGCTTCCTGAATCATCTGAATATTCCTGAAATTTTCGCATGTTCTTAGTATGGACGGCACTCCTCCTGATCCTAAGAAAGACTCACTGACAACAGGAACATGCTTCCCAAGATCAAGTTTATGTGTAACACCGATTCGAGATTCTAAATGCCCTGAACTAATTTCATGGGAAGTCTTTCTTATCTTCGAGATGATTCATCCTCGTTTCAAGAACGATGTTATTGTGATCAATGCATTCTGGATTGACGATGGTTTTCACTTAATTCAAAAGTGACTTTTCGTGTGATCTTTACTAAAGAAACGCTTATTGTGGAGCAATACCATCACTGTACGAATGAAGTCTTACAAGAGTTCAGCACCTTTTCCTATCACCGTTTCGTAATAACAGTAATTTTGTACGATTAATTTTTGCACAATAATATCTTCACTCGAAAATTTAAAATACATCATGCTTCATTTCGTGCAGTGTTTTGCTTTTCAAATTCATTTCCTTCCGCGACCCTCGACAACTCGTTTGCAATAACGACAAATTCGTTTTTAAGACCCCTATGCAAACGAATAATAATGATCTGGATAGTAACAACTGATCAAACTCGCACATTATTATATCTGACAGGAACGGCAACTTTGATCATAAACTGATCATCTAGTTCTGAATACTTTATTAGGCGAATAAAAATTGATCTCCTCCAATCACAGATTTGTTCAAAATGAGTTAACAATGGCATTTCTCTTAATCCAGTTAACGCGTGTTCCCATACTGTGCGGTGAGTTCTTCCAAAGTGGCAAATGCTTTTTCACTGATTTTAGTGGCTTTGTGACTTGACTCTCACAATGCAGATGTAATAATAAGGTATAAAGACTGAACGCCTATGGGCTTTGGTTTTAGTTGAAGTGATC